TCATTATTTTTACAATCTTTTACAATATTTTAGACATTTTATACTTCTTTATATGCCGTTAATTGATTTCTGAATATTTATTGTAAGCGTCGCAGGTATGAGCGTGACGCGGTTATGATTAACGCCGCGCCGTAAGGAACATAGGATTTTATGGCCAATACTGCTTTTATACTTTTACAGGCGTAAAGACTTCATTCTAAATAAAATATTTAGAACTTTTGGAAACATTGGGATTTTTTAAGACTCTGAAAATAAATTAAATTAAATTATTTTTTAACCATATTGGCCATAGAAGCCTATGTTCCTTATGGCGTTGATTATAACCGCTTCACGCTCATACCTGCGAGGCTTACAATAATTATTGAGAAATCAATTAATTCCATATGAAGAGGTATGAAATCGCTAAAATAATGTAAAAGATTGTAAAAATAATGATATTTTTAATAAAACTGCTGATTGCCCCTCTTCACAGGAGGTGATGTTAAATTATATATCTAATAAACATTGCAACAAACAAAAAATTCCAAAAACACGTATCCTCTATTTTTGTCCATAGTTTACGTACACGAAGTTGCAAAAAAATACATCAACATTTAGTGCAAAAATTTAAACAAAAATGATAAATTTTTTAAATATTATTTAAACAAATAAAGTTTCTTGAAATTTTTTTACGCACAAAAATTTCCTATCTAAAGACGAACAATTTACAAAAAAAAAGAATTCAATTATCTTCTTTCGTTCCGGAGATATTCCCAAAAACATGGTTTCAACCCCCAACTTCAAGGGCTATTTTCATCCCTTCAATGTGAATGATTGCCGATAAAAAAAAATACGTGTCAAATATTTTTTTGAGAACTATCTTTCACATAAGTTTCATTAAAATCGGTGTGTCGCGGTTCGATATGTTTCCTTGTAAGTTGCATCCAAAATATAGTTGTTTGATGTTATAGAACAAATAATTTAAATATAAATTGAATAATGTATCGAGAAAATATTATAATATGATTCAGAGTGGCCCTACTAGAAATTCAGTCAACTTTTAATCAGTAAACCAAATTTATTATGCATTTTTGTATCACAATAATTGTTTGTTAACTGTAAACTACCGGGGCCATTCTGAAATAAATCATATAAATCTATCTATCTATGTATTACAACTATGCATTCAGCGCAATATTGATAGCAAAGAAACGTATCTTCCATATGTTTTATGACGTTTCATAAAATATTTGAATTTTTTTTTAAGTTTGCTTGTTTATGTAACATGCATGTAATTGTATTATTTATTAAATATTACCTCTTAACACTAAGTAATACAAAATTCTGCCCTTTTTATTAAAATTCGATATGCAATGGGTAACAAAAATAAGTAAACACTTAGAGCTTGTAGTAAAAAACATTTGTGTCAAAGCAAATATGTAACTTCAAAAAACAAATTGTATATCTGTTGAAACTACTTGAAATAATCTATGTAATTATGCTGATAAAATGTCCATTAGTGCTGGATTCTCTCGTAAAAAATAATAAAGATTCACGGTATGCAACGAATACACGTTCCAAAAGCAAGTAAACACGACCGGCATTGCTCAATAACTCTTTAATACTTGCAATTTTGCAATTTATTTATAAATGACTCTTATAGATTATTTCTAGCCGAATCTGAATTCGTAAACTGTTTCTTTGTAGTTGTTATCGTTTTCGAGAAAATCTGATTTGAAGGAAAATTGTAAATTTTCAACTTTGGAAATGTTTCACAGTCTTAGAGTTGCTTCTATTCATTTTATTTTTATACCAAACTATTCTGCAAATTCTCTTGAATAAAATGATATGAATTGTGATAACATTGTAATTATTTAATTATGTTTAAATGCCAGCGGAAGTGAAGAAAAAACCAAGACTCGCCGATATCTGCTGATGTTTTTTAATTTATTTCAACGGCAAAGAATTTCAGAAAAATTCTTATCAGATCAAGCGAAACAATAAATGTTACAGTTGGAAAAGGTACACAAGAAAGATAACAAATCGTGTTATGTTTTGAGTACATGTGTCAAACGTTTCGGAAAATTATTAACACGAAATCTGAAAAACGTTCGTACAAAAAAGGCGACCGTCAGTGATGACTATCACTGCTGTAACTACATATTCGCGTTATGCAATGAAGAATACGATATCGGTCATTCATTTAACCTTACATTAAGGAATAAATAAACGTGTAACAAACTTCACATAGTAACGGCAGTGAGTACTCATCGCTGACGGTCGCCTTTTCAATTAATAAAAATTGAATAGTTGAATTAATAAAACTCTTTTTGCTTTCATATTGCGTAGCTATGTCGTCAGACATGTTTTCTACAACCTAATGACTTTTACGCTTTTATTGCTTTCAAACTGATAACCAAACAAATAGTTCACACTTATATCACTTTAGGATTAAATTTAACATAACTATAAGTGTATCATTGGTCAAGAGTGAGTACTAATATACATTACTAGGTATAAACAGGATCATTTAGTCGTATACGAAGTCTTATCGTATTATTTTAAGACCGATGGTATAAAAAAACCGATCATAATAGCGGAGCACACGACTCACCTATCTGAAACGGGGGTACCCCGCGTTCTTTTCCAGCTTGTAGAGACGTTAATTTTCGAGGCTCCATCGTTCTGAAGGGCTCGTTTTAAAGAGGAAGCTTCAAAGAATATGACCATATTTTTTATAAATTTTAACCCTTTGCCCCTCATTGAGAAAAACGCAAAAAAAGAATTTCTTTAAATTTTTCAACATTTTATAAGAAATTCACAAAGTAAAAAAAAAATATTTTAAAATAGCCCAATCCTTCATGAATAAAACAAAAAAAAGTTTAGCTAAATCGGTTGAGTAATTTCTGAGAAAAAAATTCCTAAGTGGACCCTATTTTCGCCAAAATGGGCAAAAATTGCAAACTTTGTTGAAGGCTTGTCATTCATTAACGAATTCGAAACAGGCAAAACGATAACTTAAACTCCCCTTAATTTCACATGGACTACAACATATTTCGATTAGAGCAAAATCGGAGATGATGACTTCCAAAAGTGATCGATTTGGCGTGGAATGACCCATTATACAGATATTATATGCAGGTTCTTTATACCCTGTGTATATAATAATTATATGCAAAATAATAATCATTTAAAGACACTTTGAAAGTATATTAATATTTTTACAAAAGGAAAAAAAAATAATATGGAAAAAAAATAAGTCCAGTGGGCTCGAGCTTGCAACAAAAAAACATGCAGAGATTACAAAGCGGGACTTCTAACTTCTTAGCCAATCTTTTCGATAAAATAGCGTCTTGCGATCCGCAATATAACGAAATACGACGTAAAATTAATTAATAAATGAATTTTATTTCTTCAACTTATATGTATATCATTTATCTCAATTTTAAATGTGAATCTATTTAAAATTATATAATAAATAACTGTGCAAAGAAGGCGTGTAAATTCGAAGCGGTAAGTACTGTTTTAAAGGGTTATATCGGTTTTTGATTTTTTTAACTACAGCGCACCTTACCGAAAAATCTGAAAACATTGGGGAATATTGGTTATGCCAATATGTAACTACCACATTAATATAAAAGTAATGTCCCGACATCTTCACGAAAGAATCACATTTTTTTTTTTTTTTCCAATGTTTCATAACTACAATTTACGATCATAAAAGCTGAAAAAATTCTATAATATGCGTTTTAAGATTTATTCAGAATTTTATTATGAAATTGAATAGGCAAATTGGACCAAAAACTGGAATTTCATTTTTTCCCTTTTACTATCCCTATGGGTGAGATAGAAAGTTGAAATTGGTATGAGATACTTTTTTTTTATATGCTACCGATTGATGTATTAGATTTTTTATTTGACTCAAGAGCACATTTGACTACCTTATTCGGTTAGACCCTTTATATAATTATTCTACAAATTTATGTACGTATTCCAAGTATAAGCAATTTTCTGTTTAAGTTACAGTTTTCAACTATTTGTTTGTAGTAAATAATTGTGGTATGCAAATAACCGGACATTTAGCTATTTCTTCTGCTGCTATTTATAAGATACAGAACTTTATGTCAGAAAGCGAAACATACCTAGGTTTTCTCAAATCTCAGTTTTGCATTTTAAGTCATTCATACTTATGAAATATCATAAATAGTATATAATGTGCTATTTTCGGATTTAATATTTTTGCATTGTAAACTCTTTGAGCAGTTGCTAGAAATCAGTTGACAAGGTCGTGTACGAAATCCACTTCTGCCATTACTCGAGTAATATTTCTTACTAACAACAGTTCACTGACCGTATTACCATAAAACTAACATTTTACTGTCAAAGTGTTAATATTTGTTTACTTCGTGTAAATATCAACAATTTACTTACAGTAAACGGAAAACTGCTTATAATATCAAATATACACATCTCATATTAGTAATATTTAACTCTTTTTTAACATTCTAATAAACATTTTGAAATATCTTGTTAGCTGGTTGGTAGTATAAAACAAAATTTTTTAATGGAATATGTAATATTTTAAAGGCCTTGTCGGATGGATGCAATTCGATCTTCTTATATTTCACCTTCTCTGACTTATTTTGACATTAAATATTTTATTTCAGTTTGAGATTCAACGTCAACTGAAAATTAATTTATTACATGACATTGATTTCGATTATTGTTTTCATCGATTATAACGTGCTTTAAAATTAAAAATATATTGATTTAGAAAAAAACGGAAGGTAATTTTGACGTTTCAGGAAAAATAAGATACAAAAATGTCAAATTGCATTCATCCGATGATTCCTTTAAAATGCTACATATTTCATTTAAAATGTTTTAATGTTAATGAGTTATCCAAGATTTTAGCTCTCATTAAGTCATCGTGTACATTTAATTACAATTATATGCTTATTACTTGCATTGGACGTATAATTAAATATTTGTGTTTTTGGTTTTTATTACTGTTCATACAGGTAAATCGTTTACTAGAAAAGAGCATTTCACGAATCATATAATGTGGCACACGGGTGAAACGCCGCATCGCTGCGACTTCTGCTCGAAGACATTTACTCGAAAGGAACATCTTTTAAACCACGTTCGGCAACACACCGGTGAATCTCCACATCGATGTGGTTTCTGCTCTAAATCGTTTACGAGAAAGGAACACCTTGTTAATCACATCAGGCAACACACAGGTGAGAACAGTTGGCAAATACTTATCTACTTCCATGTCCAGTTAGTTTTAATATTTTGATTTGTGTCATTGAAAAATACTTTAATTAAGAAAAAGTTAGCTCCTATTAAGTACTTGTAATGTAACACGTAATATATACTATACATATTCTGTACATCCCACTTAAAAGTTTTAGATTCTTATGACATCCCAATATTTGTGAAAATAGTAATGATTGTACTGTATAAGTATTCGAAGAATTTGCAGTATAAGTATTCAGGATGAAATTCATCATCAAAAAAGTGATAACACGATTAAACATTTGTATTAGTTTAAAATGTATTTATCGTCCTGCATAATTTTTTATCACAAGGCGAAATAATTGCTTAAAGACAAAGTTTGCGCGAAAACTGGCAAAGGATCAGTCGAATAAGATGATCAAAAAGGACCTTCAGCTACATTATACACCCAATACGTCACTTAAACGCATATCCAAAAAACATCTTACATAAAGTTTCAACTCTCTATCTTACAAAGGTAAAGGGGCGTTGGTAATAATAAAAAGAAAAAATCAAAAATCCAGTTTTTGCCCTATTTTTCCTATTTATTTTGGAACAAAAATTATAAAAAAATTCTGAGATTTGTGTCACCACAACGCAGTCAAAGTTCCAATATGATAAACCTTATTCGAATTTTTAATAGGTTTCACTTTGATGTTGTCTTCATAAGTTCACTTACGATTTGTACCATCAAAGATTGCTTGAATTTAAAATAAACATGTAACTTTCATTATTTGTTTCATCATTGAAGCTCTAAACTTAGGAAAAATCTGGTGAATTTTTGGATACAAACAAAAGTTTAATGTCTTTCACAGTTTCATCAAAAAATGTGTTTACATTTAAAAGAGAAAGTTTTTTAAATCCAAATTTCTCAAAAACTATGCAAGAAAATGTTTTATATTCTAGATTTGTATAATTTCATATAAATTTGTATTATAGGACATAATGTTAAAATATTCTTTAAAATCAATATTAGCCGCAAAAAAGAAAAGTTATGTTACATATGCAGTTTTGTAAAAAGTGTAATATAAATTTTAAAATGGTGTAGTATATAGTACGAATTTACTTAAAGAGCCAATAATTACTTTATCTTCCGTGCTTTGTCGGATTGTGAAATTTTTGAATACCGACCTGCGATTATATTGGGTTGGCAAATCAATTCGTTCGGTTTTTATTCCAACGCAAGTTTCATTCGAATTCGTTTTTCTTTTGTCAACGCTAGAGTGCGAATTGATTACACATTTGAAAGGTTATGTTTCACTGCTTATGTTATGCTGTGTTTGCTTCCGCCAACATCAATATTGTGTATGCTGCCTAGCTGTAAACATGGAAATAAATATCGTGCATTATCCTCACGTTTTGCTTTATTATTTTATAAAAGGCAAACGGGCTGCAGATGCTCATAAAAAGATACGCCGTGTGTACGGAAATGATGCCTTAATAAAATGTTTATGCCAGAAGTGGTATGTCAAATTCTATTCTAGAGATTTCGACATCAATGATGTTAGACTTTCCGACCGACCATCCAAGATAAATTCAAATGACGCTAAGGCTATAGTCAATCCATCTCAATCCGTACAAAAGATTGCTACGACACTGAATGTATTCCGTATAAGCATAGAAAACTATTTGCGCCAGCTGGGTTACGTTTTTTCTTTTAATGTTTGAGTACCGCGTCAGTTAACCGCAGCTTACTTAACCGCACGCATATTCATCTGCAATTCATTCATAAAAAGCCAAGAAAACGACCCATTTTTTAAACGAATGGTAACGGGGAACAAAAATTGGGTCGTCTACGATAATGTAACATATAAAAGATCATAGAGTCACATCTGCGAGCTACCACAAACAACCTCGAAGGCGGAATTACATCCAAAGAAAATATTGCTCTTCGTATGGTGGGATTTCAAGGGTGTTATAGTACTGTCACCGTCAGACAAAACGATTGAATCAGCTGTCTATAGTAACACATCACTCAATAAGTCTCCGGTCTAACTAATAAAAACAAATTTTTTTGTAGAAATTCCACTTTATTCATCAATATAGTCTCCTTCCAGCGTAATACATTGATTCCAAAGCTCCTCTAACTTTTCAATGCCCTTTATATAAAACGATTTGTCTTAGCTCTCAAAATAAGCTTCAGTTTCCGCAATCACTTCTTCATTTGAGCTAAATTTCTTTCCCTGGAGCATCTTTTTCATATCTGCAAAGAGCCAGTAGTCGCTGGGGGCCAAATCTGGGGTGTACGGTGGATGGGGAATCAATTCAAAACGTAATTTATTCAATTTAACCATTGTGTTCATCGCCTTGTGACACGGCGCATTGTCTTGGTGAAACATCAAACGCGGCACCCACTTTCAAAGTAATTCGCGCATGCCCAAATTATCATGCAAAACTGTGAAGACACTACCTTCTGATATCTTCAACACATCAGCTATCTCACGCAACTTCAGTTTACGGTCTTTTAAAACTATTTTGTGAACATTTTTTATGTTTTCCGAAACAACTGCTGATTTTGGGCGACCAGAATGTTCAGCATCATCGGTGCTTGTACGACCGCGTTTAAATTCAGCATACCAGTCAATGATAGTTGATTTCCCTGGTGCAGAGGCCCCATAATGCTTATCAAGCCACTGTTTGGCTTCAACAGTATTTTTCCCGATAAAAAAACAGTGTTTAATCGACTCACGAAATTCCTTTCTGTCCATTGTCTTAAAAATTACGAAACTGCGGACACTAAAACGACTGTAACTTCTAAACTAACAGTCATAATACCATGAAACTTTGACACGTACTGTTTGAATGTTAGTATTATCCGGAAATCACGTGGGTCTGTCAACGGTGTCGCCATATATCTGTCAGACCGGGGACTTACTGAGTGATGTGTTATGCAATTAACGAAATTGAACCAAGCAATCTGCACGAAATCTTCAGAATTGGTAGATCAGAAGGGTGTCGATTTCTACCATGACAACGACATTCATGACTCGAAATAAATTAATTAGCTTTGGCTGTGATATTTTGCCTCAACCTACATATTCACCGAATGTAGCCCCTTCTGATTACCAGGTGTTCCGGTCGCTACAAAATTTTATGAATTGGAAAACCTTCAGGAATAAAGAGGCCGTAAAAAGTGCTTGGATTGGTTTTTCGCTGATAAGTTCCAAATGTTTTGCGAACGCGGTGTAATGAAATTGGTGGAAAAATGGCAAAAAGTCATCAATAAAGATGACCAATATGTCATAGACTAAAGTTTATATTGTGTATCAAAAAATTGTGTTTTATTCCTCTCTGAAAACCGAACGAATTTATTTGCCAACTCAATAGTATTGGTTACTTGTTCGCTCATTTATCGTTTCAAACAAACACATCTGAATTAGATATTCTAATTTTTAACTGCTTATTTCTGAAAAATGATGTCGCATATTAGAAATATGGTGAAGTACTTTTCAATTTATTTTTAGGCATAGACTGCAATTTTCGGGATATTTTTAAAATACTTTGTTTTACATATCACATCAAAAAATAAAATTGACGATAAGATTTATTATTATTTCATTCCTACTACATGCTCTACCAAATGAAATTAGTTTTATAAGAATATTTATTTATTGTTGGAACAAATAACAATTGCGATTTATTGTAAATTTCGTAGGAGAAACACCTTTTCGCTGTCAGTACTGTCCAAAAGCATTTACTCGGAAAGATCATCTGGTAAACCATGTCAGACAACACACGGGTGAGTCACCGCACAAGTGCCAGTATTGCACCAAATCCTTCACCAGGAAGGAACATTTGACAAATCACGTGCGTCAACATACAGGCGAATCGCCACATCGATGCCACTTCTGCTCCAAGTCATTTACTCGTAAGGAGCATTTAACGAATCATGTTCGAATCCACACCGGTGAATCACCACACAGGTGTGAATTTTGTCAAAGAACATTCACCAGAAAGGAGCATCTAAATAATCATCTCCGACAACATACCGGAGATTCGTCACATTGTTGTAACGTGTGTTCAAAACCATTTACAAGAAAGGTAAGTTAAATTTATATATTTATTGTTACTTCCTAAATTAACCCTTTGCACTATTGGCAGATAACGACTCTAAAACTTTTTAGTTGAAAAATTTACTAAATACTTTTTAAGTTATTTCTCTACTATTAATTACCACTATTATCTGTTTCATTATGTATACATCACATGTATAACTCTATAGATTTAGTTAGAAAATAATTATTTCAAATCATTGTACTAAACCAAATGAAGAGTTTGAGTCACCAAGGACAAAGGGTTATAAATTTTTATTGTTTGAGTATCAAAGAGTTCAGTATAGGTTTATTACCTATTCCGCTCTCTTTTTCGTTTTTAAAATTTTTAATTTTTTGCTTTAACGATTCTGCAGTTAATTTTATGACTAAATTTTCGAACAATATCTCTATCCCTGGTTGTTCTTCTGTGCGGTTATGCAGACTCGAAAATTTAATAAATGAATAATAAATTAATAAATTTGAAGCATTAATTTAAACTTTTTATACGTTGCTCACTATGATATAGTAGTACCTACCGATGTGATATCAGTTCCGATATAATATCAGATATTATTTGAGTCACTAATAATTAACAAAAAAAATAAATGAGTCATTCCACGCCAAATCGATCACTTTTGGACGTGACCATCTAAGACTTTGCTCTAATCAAAATATGTTGTAGTCCATGTCCAATTAGAAGAGGTTTAAGCCATCATTTTGCTTGTTTCGAATTTGTTTGAAACAAACCTTCAAAGTTTGCAATTTTTGCCCATTTCTGCAAAAATAGGCATCACTTACAATTTGTTTTGTCAGAAACTACTGAACCGATTTAGCTGAATTCTTTTTTGATTTACTCAGAAAGAATTGAGCTATTTAAACATTTTTTTTTACTTTTGTCAATTTGTTATAAAATGTTGCAAAATTTAAACAAATTCTTTTTTTGTGTTTTTCTTCAATAAGGGGCGTAAAGGGTTTAAATTTTTAAAAAGTATGGTCATATTCTTTGAAGCTTCCTCTTTTAAGACAATCCCGTTCAGGCCACCGAATTTCGGAAAAAATTAGCAGTCCATTTTACAAATTGTGACAAAGAAAACATTCCACCGAGCAGAACCAAATTAAGTAAATTTTAAATAAATTTTCTGTAATTCCGTAAAATAGTGTAAATTTTATAGTTCTCATGTTACACGCTGTCAGCCACCGATG